CCTGATGGCACCTGGTATTTCTGGCCACTGTGTGATACAGAGTGTTGGACTGGATGGGCCTTTGGCCTGATCCAACATTGGTGTCTCTTATGTTCTTAAGGCTAGGTGAGAACACATACTAAGTACAGTAGCCAAGATCACTCATGAGCCAAGCATCAGAAGTCCTTTCCTTACCATTGTCTGGCCTGAACATCTTCGGAACAACTTTGCCACTGTTCAGTAGCGGTGGAGTTTCAATTTCATTTCTTTCTGCCTGTGCAGTAGATGAAATGAATCCCCCAATTATAAAAATTATGGAAATAAAAGAAATGGATAAAGTTAATACGTTACTTGCAGGAAAGTATGATTATGTGTTTAAGAAAAGATGGCAGAAATTAGATAGTTGGTCTGAAATGTATAGATAAGAAACTCCAAAAATGATGTAAATGAATATACTTTTGTGTTACTTTTATATTAGAAAAAACCAAAATAAAATACTTAAATAAAATGTGGGATTCGCTGCCAGAGGATGTCATGATGGCTACAGGAACAATCAGCTTTCAAAGGGGGGTTAAATAGATTCATGGAGGATACGTCTATCAGTGGCTCCTAGCCATGGTGGTTGAGAGGAACCTCCACATTCAGAGGCAGTTAACCTCTGAATCCCAGGGCCAGGAGATAACATCAGGGGAAGGCCTCGGCCACTGTATGAGATAGAATGCTGGACTAGATGGACCGCTGGTCAGATCCAGTAGGGCTCTTCTTCTTAAGGCTGCACAAAAACATGGACAAAGGAACACCAAACAATATAACTATTTTAATTTATAATCCCTGGCTGATTAATTTGATCACTGTTTATTTCTATGACTAGCTACCAAGCAGTGAGGGAGGGGGAAAGTAGGGCTCCCATGAGTAAAATACTGCTGGTTTCACTGTACTGCACTGTTTCAATACATGGAAAGAAACCCGACAAGCAGGTTTGACCTCACAAACAGCTGAACAACCCATCCAAAAACTGGCTCCCTGCTTGAAACCAGCGAAGTGGTAGAGTTCAGACATCTTTCAACAAACAGAGAACACAAGAAGAGCCCTGCTGGATCCAATCGGGGATCTAGTCCAGCATCCTGTCTCACACCGTAGCCAGCCATTTACTCTGGAGGACCAACGAAGAGGGCACAGAGGCTGAGGCCTTCCCCTTCTGTTGCTTCCCGACACTGGGATTCAGAGGTTTGCTGCCTTTGAATGTGGAAGTTCCTTTTATTCACCATGGCTAAGAGTCACTGATAAACTTATCTTCCATGAATCTGTCTAATCCCCTTTTAAACTTGCAGTTAACTGACCGGCTACAAACCCTCGTTTGAAATCTTGGTTTCTTTTATTGCTCTTCTGACAGATGTCTGGCATGCAAGTGGGAACGGTGGGAGAATCAATCTCCAAGAAATCTCGGACCAAGCAGAACCCCACAGGGTGTCGCTAAGAGGAGCAAAAGAAAACCTTTCCCGGAGCCAACAAGTGGCTGAAACCTCTAAGATTCCTCAGGGGCCAAAGATGCCTCAGGAAAACCAGCTAAGGAAAACCACAGGTAAATCCACTTTTTGTGGGGTGCGCAAGGAAATCCTTGATGACACGTCGCTGCTACCTAAACCCCAGATTTTCCCTGTGATTGGAACGGCTTTAAGACAGAACTCAGATGGAGAGACACCATATCAGTGTACCGAGTGCGGCAAATGTTTTGCGCGCAAGAAACACCTTATCGTACACCGAAAAACCCACATTGGGAACACCCTCTATGACTGCTCGGCATGCGAGAAAAGATTTGCTTGGATATCGGACCTGACCCGCCACCAGAGAATCCACACCGGGGAGAAGCCCTACGCCTGTCCGCTGTGCGGCAGACAGTTCAGTTCCCATTCCAGCCTTATTAATCATAGGAAAACCCACGGGGGGGAAAGACCGTTCCCATGCCCAGACTGTGGGAAAAGATTTGTGTGCAAATCACATCTCACGAGGCATCAAAGAGTCCATCTTGATAGGAAATCATACGCCTGTTCCGAGTGTGGCAAAAGCTTCTGTCAGATCTCGCTTCTGATCCTCCACAAAAGCACGCATGCCGAAGAGAACCTCCTTTCGCAGCCCCTGGAGACGCTGGACTTTCAGCCCGAATCTCTGTAATGCGTTGAGATGGTGTCAGTTGTACTGTTCTCCTCTTGACTGGTTGCAGTCCTGCACATTTGTGTGTCCACTATGGTATCTTCCTCTTCAGGACCAAGCTGCGTGTTTGGGTTTTTAAAGAGCTGCATCCAGGTTCCCCTCACCCCACTTGGGTCCCCCTCAGCCACACAGCAGATGGAAGGGATGGCTTTCAAAGAAGAAAGAAGAGCCCAAACAAGCTTGGAATGCCTCCGACGGGGGAAGGAAGGGCTCCCGTCTCCCCCCCCCCAGTCACTTTCCACACCGAAACAGCACTGGGGGGGGGGGAGTTATTTCCCCAATTTTTCTGCTCTGTGTGCATAGAATACTCCATGTGTAGAGGCAAAAATGGGGAAATAACTCCCACCAGGCACTGTTTCAACCTGGGAGAACAGCTGGGGAGGGGGAGTCAGGAGCCCCTCCACCCCCCCGTGGCAGCGTTCCAAGCCCATTTGGGCTCTCTTTTATTTTTGCTTTGAAAAGCCATTCCCCACGTCTACTGTTTGGATGTGGGGAACCCAAGTTGGGCCCAGGGAATGTGGGGAACCCGGACCTGACTCTTTAGAAACCCAAATGTGTAATTTTGCCCTCACAGGGTAAGACCTCTACAGAATCTTGTTGGTTCTTATTCCCCTTTGTCCTTGGATTTGTTGGCTAGTCCCGCGTATCTTTGTGTCGCTTGCCCGTTTGATGCCTCCGTTTCTTGATTCCGTCCTTGAGAGGCAACATTTCCTTTGTTCTGGTTTCAGCGCCAGCCTGGGTTTTTGGCCCCTGCAGTCTTGGTGTTGCTTGCAGTTTTCATACCTTCCTCTCTTCAGACTCTTTTTTTTGAGGCTAGAAGTATGGTAAAATGTTGTTGTTCGTCTTGATTTTAAAGCTTATTTGCAGTCTCCGACACTGTACAAATCTAGTCCAGTTGAAATTTTAGACTTGAAAAGTGATCGGTAAGTTCTTCGGGAGGGGGGGATCTGTCCTTTTACTTTACGGCACTTTGTACAGCACTGTGACAAAGGATGACACTGTATAAATCAACTGTAATAATAATAAATCCAGAGTTGCTTTTTAAAAATCGGTCAGTTTGTTTGCTCCTGGGCACTCGATGAAATTAACACATGGAAATCACTGCCACGAGAAGTGGTGGCGGCTACAAGCATGGACGGCTTCAAGAGGGGACTGGATAAACATATGGAGCAGAGGTCCATGAGTGGCTATTAGCCACAAGGTATGGATGGAACCCTCTGCCTGGGGCAGTGATGCTCGGTGTGTAGAAATGCATTTTTTCTTTGGAGGTTTGAAATGAACAAAACCTTCACTCTGAATTTTAAAAGTTTTTTCCTGTCTCTAGGTAGAGAACAGGCAGGAAGTCAGTTCAATTGTTTTACAGACTTCCCTCAGCCCACCTTCATACAAATGCGAATAGGTCTAGACAATGGGATGGTCAAGCTCCCCACTTCCAAGCAGGGAACAGAGATTTGGAGGAATTAAATACTAGAGAGATTTCAGGAAGGAAATTTCTAGAATCTTCAGGAAAAGCTTATCTGACTGGCCTGACCTGGTCAGTGGGTAGAGAAACAGATATGATAAAAACTCCTTGCAGCAAGGGGAAGGTCTCTTTGTGCTGAGTCCACAAGAGCAGACAGAATTCTTAACTGAGGTCTGAAGGCAGCCATTTAATCATGTGCTGTCCTGGAGAGCTGCAGGAAGCTTCAAGTTAATGAAGCTCTGTAGAGATCTGTAACTTCCTAAACCTAAGGAGCCTGTCTTATATTTTAACATCTGATAGGGCATGTATAGAGAAAGGACAGAGGAATTATGTTTTACCCATTACTTTTGAATCCCTTGCTCAATCTGGTGCCGTGCTAAAAATATGCTTGTGAACATTTTCTTTTTAACACTTTATAACTTTTGATGCTGGTAGTGGTTCTCTGTACCACATAGACCTCCGCTGTCTCGGACATGCTGTTTTAAAAGGGGAGTCGGGGGGGGGGACGGCAGTCAGTGGGCAAGTGTCTATTTCTCCAAAGGTGCACAAGGCAGTAGACTGAGAAGGGAAGCTGGGAGTCCTGACCCAGCTGGCAATTCCTACAAAGGTCAGGTGTCGGGTTACTGGAGAGAGAGAAAAGCCTCTCCAGGTGTTGGGGAAACCTTGGGAGGGCAGGGTGGAACAGGGCCTGCAGGCCAGACCCTGCCTGTTCCAACACACTCTGTATTCTTGGTGCTTGGGGGGCAACAGTGGGAGGCCTTCTGCAGTTCTGGTTCCGCTGATGGACCTCATGATGGCACCTCCATTTTGGCCACTGTGTGACAGAGAGTGTTGGACTAAAATGGGCCACTGGCGTGATCCATCAAGGCTTCCCTTATGTTCTTATGTAAGGTCCCAGGTTCAATCCCCATCATCTCCAGTTAAAAGGACTGGCCAGTAAGTGAGGAGACAGAGCCCTCTCTCTGCTTGAGACCCTAGAGAGCCACGGCCAGCAGACAATACTGACCTTGATGGACCAATGGTCTGATTCAGTACAAGGCAGCTTCATGTGTTCACGACTCCCACCTTGCCACAGATCCAGCGTTCTTCCTCTACTGTGTACGTTTGCTGCTTTTTTAGTGGCCACTGCTCTTGTACCTGTAAAAGCTGCTGACCTGCTGACTCCCAGGCTTAGTCCCCAACGTCACCCCTTAAAGGGTCTCAGATTACACTTGCGGGAAGTTACTTTTCTCAGGCAGGAGTAGACCAATTGACCAAGATGGTCCAACGGGCGTGTAAGTCGGAAGACCTGAATAATACCGATATACTTAAATACACACACGGCACACACAGAGATGAAATGCAAATAAATTTTTTTTTATTTCAGCATTGGGGGGGGATTTCCTTCCGCTAGGGGGCACCTGTCTCGACCAAACGTTTTCCCTGTTTGACAGAACGCGGTCCGATAATAGCTTATGGGATTGAGAGAGTTGCAGAGTATTGCTGTGGTATTTTTAAAAAAACAAGATGGGACAGGGACAGGTGACAAGCCCAGTCCCCGGGGGAACCGATGCCACCAAGAGGGCACAAAGTCCTTTGATTTAAATGCAAGTCTCGGTCCAAACATTGCTCAGCCGCACTGGCATGTTCGCAAACGGACAGAGAACAGCCAAGGCAGGGCCTCCTCAAACAGTGCTGTTTTTTTTAAGGTCTGCTATACACTTGAACTTCGCAGAGGCCCACTCTGACCGCGTGTTCAAGGTCTGGACATCAACTACTTCACCGTCCTGAGAGCAGATAAAAAAGGGATGTTGATTTCAGTCCCAAGACCCAGAGGATTTAACGGGACTTATGTAGTTTGCTTCTCTCAATATATGTTTTTTTAAAAAATGTTTTTCTTAACAACATATCCCCACCTTTGAAGTGCAGACAACCCCCACCCCACCCCTTTCTGAACATTAAGAGCAGCCCTGCTGGATCAGACCAGTGGTCCATCTAGGCCGGCAGTCTATCTCATGCAGTGGGGAACCAGTTCCTCTGGAGGGCCAGCAACAGGACACAGAGGACGAGGCCTTCCCCTGATGCTGCCTCCCAGCACTGGGATCCAGAGGATTAGGGCCTCTGAATGTGGAGGTTACCTTTAGTCACCACGGCTAGTAGCCACTGACAGAACTCTCCTCCATAACAGGTTAAAAGTTGTTATTTGCCCTTGCAGTCCACCTTTCTCACGGGACTCAAAGGCAGTAAGATAAAAATTGTCATTCAGTAGAACTTGTGTTTTGAAATAATGATGGGAAACTTTACTCATAGCAAATTCCTCAGCCCCTCCCAATGGCCTCGCTTGCAGGTTTGTGATCTTGCCCAACAGAAATTACTTTAAACTAATTCTCTCTACTGACAACTAAATAGAGAGAGAGAGAGAGCATCTCCCCTCAAGTAGTGAGTAGTGACCAGTTTATAAATCTGCGTAATAACATGATAAAATTTTCCAGGACTGTACCACTTTCACCAACAGGGAGAAATTCCACTTTTGAATGATCCCTTAGAGGGCAAATGAATTAATTAAACTGCATCTAGAAAAGTACCAAGCCAATGAGAAATCTTCAGCTTAGCCTCATCCCCTATTTTTCTTTGAGTAAAGAAGCTGATGGGCAGTAGGTTCAGGATGGAGAAAGGAAACACTACTTTACACAGAGTGATTAAAATGTGGCATTCCCTGCCGGAGGATGTAGTGCTAGCCCAAGGAATAAACAGTTTTGAAAGCTGTTTAGATAGATTCATGGATGAGAAGTCTATCAAAAGTTACTGGCCATGGTTATGGCTGAAATGGATAAAATGACAAGAAAACTTAATAATATGGAGGCAGAAGAATTTTTTGCAGACTGGAAAGACTTTAAAGACTACTTGGAGAAATATTGGGATGTAAAAGACAATTTACTTTGCTTTGAGAATTATTGAAAGCTGAAAGATAGCAGAAATTAGATAATGTATAAGAATAACAACTAAAGGATGATACCTGTGGATGTAAATAAGGTAAAAGGGAGGTTTGAAGAAAATTTAAGAATTGGGCTGGAGGTTGGAGCACTGTGGGAAGCCAAGAAGGGGGGGGGGGAAGGATATATAACTGTATAAGATTTGATATATGGATGGACTTTTTGTTTTTTTAATATATCCTAATAAATTGTTTTTTTTTAAAGTTACTGGCCATGGTGATTGAGGAGAACCTCCACATTCAAAGGCACCAATCCTCTGAATCTCAAAGCCAGGAGGCCACATCAGGGGAAGGCCTCGGCCTCTCTGCCCTGCTGTTGGCCATCCAGAGGAACTGGTTGGCCACTGTGTGAGACAGGATGCTGGACTAGACGGACTATTGGTCTGATCCAGCAGGGCTCTTCCTGTGTTCTTAAGACCTGGATAGGCTGGACCTGGCCCAGGCTAGCCCAATGCCACCAGATCTCGGAAGCTAAGCAGAGCGGGCCCTGGCTAGTCCTTGGCTGGGAGACCATCATGGGAACCCAGGGTTGCTATGCAGAAGCAGGCAATGGCAAACCACTTGTTTGTCTTACGCCCTGAAAACCCTATGGGTTTCAAGCCATATGTCAGCTGCAACATAACAGCGAAAAGGAAAAAGGAAGAAGAGTCCCCCCCCCCACCTCAAGAAGAGGAACATTCCAAACGCAACCTTGTCCTCTCACTATCAGACTAAAGTGGTATAGTCCAAAGAAAGTTTCACCATGTGATTCTCTGCACTGGCACTTGGTTAGTAAAGGAAACAAATGGATTATCTGGCTACAGCTTACTCATCTTTTCTGGGATCCCCCCCCGACACTAAAACAGCCATAAATCTTTCCTGTTGTCAGAAGCTTGGGACTCTGGCAACCATCAAGAGCAGAAGCCGGTTCTACACACAGGATCCTGAAACTGGGTTTTCAATCTATTCCCCTTCTCGTCTTGTTTCATCGCCGGGGGGGGGGGGGCCCCCCTAAACCCC